ATGAATAAAACATATAATGGTCAAAATGGCCAAAAATTGGCTCATCGACCACTAACCAAACACCCCCATAAAGCAAAAAGGAAGATCGACCTTGAAAGAGTTTCCAAATATATGAATAGACATATTTGATTATTCATGTGATATGATGTGCACAAAGCACGGTGATGATTTCGGATGTTGGACGATTGAAAATAGAAACTAACACATGAGTACAGCGTCGTGTGTATGTGAGTTTTTTCTGTAAATCCCAGTCCATAAACAAAAACAGACATGTTTTGTCTCTGAAAAATTCTACAGACAAAACAATTCTGTTTTTATCTGTGGACTGGGATTCACAGACAAAAAAAACTTTCACAAACACAAGGGTGTACTGATGTGTATAAGAAAGTGTACAAAAGGAATTTTTGTTAATATAATGTACTTTATTGGGGATGCAAATGTGTAATTTAGATCAGGTCATAAACATTTAACCAAGGCCACACCCCCTTTTCTAAAAAGGCGAACATTTGAAAATTTGAATCTAGGTGTTGATTTGAGTTTGCACCCCATATTATTGTCTAAATTGACTTTGCACCTCGTTTTAAAAAATCTTTGTTTCTGCACCCCCAACTCCATATGAAAATATTAAAATGCCCTCCATTAACAATTATGTTGACCTTCAACATATTCCTGATTGAGGGCATTTTTGTCTTTTCATATGGGGATGGTGCACAAACAAAGATTTTTAAAAATGGAGTGCAAAGTCCAATTTAAACAATAATATGGGATGCAAACTTAAATTAACCATGTTAATATTTCATTGTTTACTTTCGAGCAGACCTCTAGGGTATGAGATATTACCCAAAATAAAATTAAAACAGTTTGAAAATTTCAAAATAGGACTGTTATATTTTTATTCCCAAAATAGGACTAATTATTGTCATATTTTGGCAGTACCAGACTTCAAACATGGCAGTATTTTCTAAACATAGCAGTAATTAGTACTATTTTGGGAATAAAAAACATGACAGTTCTATTTTGTAATTTTGAAACTTTTTTAATCCTATTTTGTAATTTTGACACGGAGATCCCTTATGAAGAGTGTTCTATTATTCACGATCCATTTTTATTGGTATATAAATCATTAAACTCTTATAGTGTGTCCTCAACATATTTGATAGGTGACACTCTTGTCTCTTGTGTCTTAGGAATATGTTTAAATAAGTTAAGAGATTCAAACTCGATAATCAAAACCAAATTTTCTCATCGAGTCAAATTAATTAATGAAGTAAAAATAAAGTAAGAACGAGCTATAATCACACAAATGTTATCAAATTTGATGCTCCGTATGAGATAATATCAGTGGGACAAACTGAGAAGAAGAATGAGATAATCTTAGCGTGACGTAAAGAGTCATATAAAAACAATATATTATGGGTAGGTTTGACACAACTAGCTGAAAAAATATTTTTATTAATTTTTTAGTAAATGTTAGCTTTCAGTAACTGAAAAGATCTTAAAAGAAAAAGATAGTAGCTGTTGATAAAAAACTGACTGTTTGTTTAACTCTATTTGGTATACAAGTTGATGGAACTAATAATGTTAGAAGCTACACTTATTTGGGATGCTACTCATTGTAGCATCTCAGAAAAGGTCTTTTATTTTTATAAAAGCTCTTAAAATTTGGGATGTCAAACATACAACTAGAATTTATAAAGACTTTTAAAAAAGTACAAAGGGGTATGTTTGGCACAACTAGCTGAAAAGATACTTTTGTGAACTTTTTAATAACTGTTAGCTTTTAGTGACTGAAAAGATCTTAAAGAGAAAAGGTGGTAGCTGTTGGTAAAAAGCTGACTGTTTAATTTAGTTCGGTTTGATATACAAGTTGTTGGGACTAATTAATACTAAAAGTCACGGGCTTTTTTCAGATGCTACTTCCTGTACCATCCCAAAAAAAATCTTTTAATTTTTGAAAAGCTCTTAAAAATTGTCATGTCAAACATGTAACTAGAAGTTTTGAGAGACTTTTTGAACAGAAGAAAAGCTAGAAGGTAGAGATTTATGTCTGCCAAACATAGTCAAAAATTAGAAGGTATGCACGTATGTCCGTCAAACATAGCCTATAAATAGAATAACTTTTATGGATCAGTTTTAAAGGGACAACATTCAGCATAGTTTTACGCCTCAAAACGTCAATATGTCAAACGCAAGTCCACACTTGCAATCACACATTAAAGCAATAATTTCATCCCCTCTTATCTTATACGGAGTAGTATAAAATAAAGTATTGGCTAGCCATGTTACTGGTTAAAGAAAAAGAATAAGGTATCGTTATATTGAGTAGCGGCTTCCGTAGCCTTGTGACCTTGTCCGGGGTGCCTAGGTACTAAATATAATTCAAAGTTTGTAAAAGTATATCCAAATGAATACAAGACATACATCAAATTAGAGTGGTAATACAGATCCTTTAATTTTTTTCTCATAACTATATTATGATTAGAAAATGGTTACTTGTACAAGTCTTTTTACACTTTTTGTGCACCTCCGTGTTACACGTGTAAATAGGGCGTAAATAGCAGCTCATTTAAAATAATCAACAATTATATACGTACACAGGCGAGCCTAAGAGTACACTTTTTATGTACACCAAGAATTGCTCTTTTGTTTTAGCGTTTTTCATATGTTTTGAGTGAAGGAATGTGATGTACGCGTACTACTGGTTCATCCCCCTCCTGAACCGCCATCATGGAATGATACATAATCTAGAATTTGGACGAAGGCGGGTCAAGATTGCTTTACATTATCTAGTTTTCTCCAGTGCTCTAGTTCTTTTGTTGCGTCTGAGGTGAAGCATTACAATTTCTATTTTGTAGTTTTTGTTTTTAGTTTGGGAGGAAACAATCACGCTAGTTTGACCGATAATAACTTTGAATCTCTTGCATGTTCAGTGTTAGTTTTGCACATTATTGGACAGTCTATTCTATGTCTGATCAGAGAATGAGAGGATTTATTGGATATAAGGAATCTAGAGGAAATGTGTGAGTATTTAGGATGACGGGTGTTTGTTTGTTTGATATTTGAGATATAATATAAGCATTTTCCGGTCAAAAAAAATTATCATCAACGTAAGAAACAATAATAAACTTCTTGTACATTCTCCAAATTATCATGAACTTCAAAAATTTAAAAGCCATCTAGGGTCTAGCACAATCCGTCTACCCCACTAGTTTAATGCTACTTGCTTTAAACGTCAGCCTTGTTTAGTTCAGAACTTCACACAGCCACACTTCCGCCTTTCGATGTATATTAAAAAGGGGTAAATTGAGTTTTCACCTCATTTTATTGTCCAAATTGGGATTTGGACAAAAAGGGGTTGGGGTTTATTGCTCTGGCCATCTTTTAAAAATTCTTTGTTTTTGCACCCCAACCCCATATGAAAAGACAAAAATGCCCTCGATCAAGAATATGTTGAAGGCCAACAAAATTATTAATAGAGGGGCACTTTTGTCATTTCATTTGAGATTGGGGTGCAAAAATAAAGTTTTTTAAAAACGGGATGCAAAGTTCAATTTGCACAATAAAATGGGATGCAAACTCAAATTACCCCTATTAAAAACAGGACTTCACAGTTCCAATTTGGGCTGTTTTTTTTATCGAGACTCTGAGATTAGTGTTCTCACAGTAAACTTTTTTGGTAAACAGAGAATAAACTTGATACTTATGAGCACGGTTAGGGATGGACCGGTTCCGGTTCGGGTCTCGGTTCAGGAAGGGGAGGCCCGGAACCGGTTCGGGTAATCCCCGGGTCCGGGCCGGGCCAGGCCTCAATTCTATTTTTTTTTTTTGGCTTTTCCTAGTTAACCCCCAACCCTCCCCCTCACCCCCAAACCAACCCTAACCACCTCAAATGGCCCAAAATACCCAGCCCAACCTAAAAACTTAAAAACAAATCAAAAAAATGGCCCGGCCCGAGACTGAATCGGTCAGGCCGATTCACCTTTTGAAGGGCCCGACCCAAACCGACATCCCACCGGGCCGGGTGGCCCGAACCGGCCAACCAACCGGTTCACCGAGCCGGGCCAGACCCGCACAGTAGCGGGCCGGTCCGGTTCCGGACCGGTTGGCCCGGCCTCAGTCCACCCCTAAGCACAATACATTGACGTTTGATAAGCACTCGATAATAATATTAATTAATAACTTAATAATACCATTAACAATTTGCAAGTATGCAATATATAAATGAATCTTCGCAATGCGCACAATCAAAGATCAAATCAAATAAGTAAATCTTCACATCCAATCAGTAATAGATTCTCATTCTAATTTCTAATCAAATTAGTAATGACCAAAGATGTACTCCCTCCGTCCCTCTAATATTGGTACGAAATGGAGTGATTTTTAAAAAAAAGTTGAATTGTGTGATTAATAATGAGTTGATAAAATGGAAAAAAAGTAAGAATGAATTAGAGCCACACAAATGTTACTAAATATGGTATGGGACAGTAATAAAAGTACATCCAAAAATGGAAAAATAGAACAATTGTAGGAGAACAGGGGGAGTAATAATTAACGAAATCGGGTAATAACACTTTGAAATAATGAAATCACATGGACTGAAATCAACTTATCTAGTCTAGTCAAATCTAGCTAGTCCAAGTATTATGAGCAACAGCTCAACCGATATCAACTATCAAGGGTTCGTTTGCAAGCACTTAAAGAACACTTCTCAAACTTTTGACTTAAAAAAACTAAAATTATTATTTTTAACTGCAAACTACTATTTAAATTGAACACTTAAAAGCTAAAAGCTACTTTTTCACTTTTTTTATAACGCAAGCACATACCTGGTCTGGTCTAATCTGATCTGAACTGGTCTGGTTTCTTTGTATTTTTATAACTATGCAAGTCTGGTCTGATCTGGGACGAATTACAGTCAAAGTAAAAACATCCTAACAACTTTTACTTTTAAAATCATTTTTTACTTGAACACTACCAACTTTTACTATCTTTTATTATTAAGCACGTTTTCCAAAACCACTTTAAAAAGTCACTTTTTTAAAAGCAAAAGCAATTGCAAACACTCCCTAGGTCTGATCTAATTCATTTAAAGCTGATATGGCCTGATGCTGAAAATAGAAGAACAATGCTCACATGAGAAAAATCAAAGAGAAGTCATTTGAATAAGGAGCCACACTTGCGATTTTGCAAATTCAAATTATACACTAAAAACTTCAACTCAAAACTGAAGCAGAATAAGCAGACCCTCAATATTCCATGAAGCTACAAAAATCAAGTACAGAATACATGCCAACATATTCGAGGGTATAGACCCTAGACCAGCAGCCGCCCTTCCCATTTTCACTTACATTCTATCTTCCCTACGTCGAGGCGCACATGTGATAATTTCATCCACACGTAAAATCATCTCTGCAGCCTCAGTTGCAGAGAGCAACACTGCTTGCTTGACTTTAAAAGCCTCAGATATGCCTAGCTCCGCCATATCACCGATCTGCAAACAGGAGGCAAGATTTGAAAAGAAAGGCATGTAAACCACAGGGCATTCGTGCAATCGAGGAGCATGAACTACATGACAAAATCTTAATAATAGTAATAAAACACTATGCAGTACTATGATAGCTTTCAAAAAAAGTCATTTGGCTGACGTGCAACTTCTATTTTTAGAGCCTTGCAATGATGTTATGACAGATACACACCACCTATGGCTTTTTTAGAGAACATACAATAACTATTATAGAATTAGCATCCATACAGAATCGAGAATGTTTTTAAGACAAAAAGTGCTTTTCGAGACAAGACTCTTTATGGAGTTGCTTTCTCATTTAACACTAAAAACTTGCTTCAAAATAAGACGCTCCCATTAGGTTCTTTCATAAATATGTACAAAAAGTGCTTAGGACTGCTTACTTATAACCAAAAAGCATAATTTCCACATTCTAGCCAAACTCTTCCTTTTAGAGTACGGATGTTTTCATTTGGACTGAAATTTGTTAGTCTGATCTCTCTATGTATTTTGTAACTATGAAAGTCTGGTCTGATCTGGTCTGAACTGAAAACAGTCCAAAAGGAAACATCCTAAACACACATGTTCCTAAAAGAACACTTATTCTTTTGCCCAAACACACTCAATAATAGCCAGGTTATTTTCCACAATTTTGTATATACTGCCTAAAGTGACATGTAGGATGCTTGTGACCCCTTTAACACACATGCAATAGCTGCATTTGTTACTCGTAAGGATAATAATATTGGTAGATGTGGACATGTGGGGATTGGGGGATATCGATTTAAAGAAAACACAGTAGATATTTCAATATTGATTTTGAAAATTTTAATGTAATTTTAGTTGGAAAGATTAATAAGATTATCAATGTTTCTGCTATATCCTTCAATAATTCTCTATATCTCTCAAAGTGTTTCTGTATTTTCCAGTATTTCTTGACATTTTCCAGAGTTTCTCCAGGATTCTAGACAAAGCTCATTACATCTTTATTGTGAAACTTTACAAAACATTTCTTCAGAAAAAGAAATTATTGTACGTTTTGCTGGGAGAAGATAATGATATTATCAATATTTCAGATATACTCCATATCTTTCAACAATTCCCCATATTTCTAAATATGTTTCAGTTTTTCCAGTATTTCTTGATAATTCTAAAGTTCTCTTCAGGATTCAAGAAATAGTTTGTTACCAGCTTACTGCACATATCAGTATGGGAGACCTCAAAATATGGAAACTTTGATGGAAATCATTTGATAAGTGGTCACGTGAATATTTAGTGAAATAGAAGGCATACAAAATTGAATTAAGTGTTACTCACAGATCCAGTGATGACATCAATTCCAGAAGTGCATCCATCTGTGTAATGTTCGGCACGAAGTCGAGCAACAAGTTCAGCACTGTCCAAACCAGCATTGTCAGCAATGATTGTTGGAATGGCCAAAAGTGCCCGTGAGAAAGCTTCAATTGCATGAGATCTTTTCCCAGGAGTCTTTTTAGCCAGTTCATCTACTGCCTTTGCCATCACCATCTCTGGCCATCCACCACCAAGTAGTACTCTACTGTCGTTCACAGTCTGTGACAGAACGCACAAGGCATCATGCAGGGATCTTTCAGCTTCATCCAGAACGTGAGGGCTGTATGACAATAGATAGCGAAGAATGGTATAAGATCACAAAAGCAGCATTGGTTTTCAAGGGAGACATGTGTTGGTCCTCAAAAGGACCTTATAAGGCACATAATAGCCAAGTATATCAACCCAGGGAAGTAAGTATGGTACATCATTGGTTGGTTTTCTAGGGTTTATAAAAAATAATAATGTTGTCTAGTATTAACCTAATATATTATGCCTCATAAATGAACTCTTTCAAAAAATAAACATGGATAGAATCACTGTTGGGGGGGATAAGAACATGCTTGGTAGACTCTAATATTCACATATCAGTCAGTCAACAAAATAAAATCTCATAGATAGTATTTGATTACTTATTAAAAAACTAGAGTCAAGCGAACAGGTACATATTTCTTGACATTTTCCGAGATTTCTATGGGATTTAAGAAAGACTTTGTTAACACACATATCAATATTGAAGACCTCAAATATGGGAACTTTTGATGGAAATATTTTCATATTTGGTACGCGGAGAACATTAAAATTGTTAATGCATTGGCTTAACCAGATAATGATCTCAAAGGTAGCACTTGAGTACTTTTGTATCTGTATATAATATACAGACATACAGATAGATGAAAGTCAAAAACAAAAAGGGTCAACTGTCAAGTACCTTGCACCTCTCAAGACAATTGTACATGCCTGTCCCATCTCAACCCCAGAAAAGTGAATTAGCTTATCCTCACCGATCATGATTTCTTCAATAAGTTTGCAGTGACCAAGTTTGACTGACTCTGGATTGTCGAAGGTTGAGGCGATCTCACCACCCGTAACCAAAGCAAGACGCTCAATACCATCAAAATCAGCATGTTCAATAGCAAGAATCCCAGCATCGGCAAAAAGTTCCTCTGGAAAATTATATATCAGTTGTCTGTTAACAAAGCAGTTGATTCCATGACCTATAATCTTTTCAACCTTTTCCCTCATCTTGTTCTTTTCAGCTGTTTCTAACTCAGCAACCTTAGCCATTGAGTCAACGCGAACACGTGCACCATAAATTTTCACTTTATCAGTATCCATTGCAGTATTAGCAACCAAGATCTTTGCATTTTCAATTCGTTTTGGTTGACCAATTCCAATTTTTTTGTCCAGAATAAACCTACACGTAACATCTTGAGTTAAAACATCTATGGCAACTAAGAAGCAAATCAACATCACGTAGCAGACAAGTTGGCCTAAAGAATAATAAAATACCAATATTGAAATACAAAAATACTGGCTTTAAATTCATTTTAACTGTATACAAGTTGGCTAAACGGGAAAAACAATACAGGATACACATTTTTAGACGATATACACCAACAGATGAACTTAAAATAACAGGCATTTACTCCTGACAAAGAGGACAGACATCATTTAGCAATACCAACAAAGGAACTAAAATAGCAGGCATTGACTCATGACAAAGAGGACAGACAATATAACAATAAGACTGACAAAATTATTAAGGCTAGGCTAGCTCACCCCTCATCTAGGAAAGAGTCTTTAAGTGAGCCTCCAGGCTTCTTAATAATCTGAATTGACTCGAGATTGGTGCTTCCCTGTCACATCAACCCCACATGTTAAACAAGCAACACATTTATTTGCTATAAATAGCACTGATTATCTATTGGGTGACATAAACGAAGTAACCTAATACGCTGATACCAATCGAAATATTGAGGAAAAAGAGATACTATTGTATTATGTATATGCCTCTGAAAACTATGCTAAGCCAAAGTATTACTGAAAACTAAATATGTGGGGTGGGTATTAATTATAGCGTGATATACTGGGGTAGAGTTTGAGCAATTAAGATTTAGGAATTCACGAGAATATTAATGTATATGGAGACCAAGGTAGTCAAAAGCAAGCGTTTGAGCACTTAAGAGAACCAGGCTAGGCGCTATTAAGGGTGGGTGGTTTAAAAGATCCCAGGCGTAGCAAACTTGATAAGGCGCAGCAAAAAAAACATGAAGCACACATGGCCCACACTTAGAGCGCCTAGGTTGGATTAGGAATTTAAGCCTATTTTTCTTTCCACAAAGACTTGGATCTATTTTCCAGAAGCTCATATTTAGATAACAGCAAAACCCTCCATTCGAGACAGTAGGACATGGGGCAGGGACTTGGGTAGTATTCGAGAGTTTCAAAGTTCCTCTTCTTCACAAATTCCTCTCCTTTGGCGATGATGAAGGTGGTCACTTGGTGTGAGGTTAGTAGAACAGCAGCAGCATGAGGACCCATAATATTTACTAGGAGGCATGCCTCATCTACTGGGAATGATGCTATAGAGTTATATACTTGGGAATTGGGCGGGAACCTAAATTGCATTGCAACTTTAGTTTTATTTTTTAAGTTATGACTTATGAATTTGGAGTTTTATTTTTTAATCAGCCCATTGACGTGTATAATAGATTATGAAAGTATAAAGGTTGTAATGCTTATATCATTCTAGCTTTTTATGGTGCATAAAGGCAATGTAGCTTAATTTTTATTGAATATATCATGTTTGATAAATCTAGAGTAGTATAGATAATTAGATGATCTACTCAAAATTGTGTGCCATCCATGAGCCAGATGTGTGCTTTGCGCCTCAGGCAATAAAAGACTAACGCCTGGAGTGTGCATTACAACTTTGACTACCTTGATGAAGATTATAAAATATACCTTCAGCCTCATGACAGCATCAACAGCCAGCAGAGCAAAATGCTCCTTGTCTTGAGACAAAATCTTGGAACTTAATGTAGTCATTGCAATCTTCATCAAATCTAATCTGAATTTCTCTGCATTTCCCAACAGCATTACCAAAAAAGGGGTCAGTCATGATTAATAAACAAAAATCTACAAAAAAACAATGGAAAAGTAAGATTTCATATCCTTTTCAGAAATAACTATTTGCATAATTCAAAATAAGAACCAGTATGACTTAAAAAATTAGAAAAAAGACAAAATTGATCAAACAGGGTCAAAGTTTCTTTATCATGTTGAACAATATCATGACCCACGTCATACATACCTGCATCATGCTTGTTATCAACAACCTTTTCTAACAATGCATTGCGTGCACACTCAGCTGCCATGCGGAAACCTAAGATTAAAAATCAGAAAATCAGTTGATGAGATATATCACCAGAATCACACCGCTCATACGATCAACTAGAAATAACACATGCCAATTGGTATTATAAATTTACATGAGAAGCAAAAATTTCAGAACATACAAACTGATGAAAAACATGATAAGTTGAAATGGAACAAAACCTGAAATGATTGTCATTGGATGAATCTTGGAGTTTACCAGCTTCTCTGCCTCCTTTAGAAGCTCACCAGCTAAAACAACTACTGAAGTAGTACCATCCCCTACCTCATCATCTTGGACTTTAGAGATGTCTGAGAAAGGTGTTAAGGTCCGCCAACATTCATAAAGTAATTTCAGACTTTTACTGCTTCTCCGTGGCATTATTATTTAACCAAACATGAATTGTAAGACTTGTCTACTGTGTCCACTCACCAAAAACAGACTGATGAAAATAAAAAATGTCTAAAGTTTCACTACAATTTTGTATTCATAAAATGATGACTTAAATTGATACATCAACAAACACCCCAGACACACACTATCGAGGATACCAACAAGAACTTTAGCTGCAGGATTGTCTATATGAAGGGACTTGAGGATGGTAGCACCATCATTTGTAACAGTTACACTATGACCCCTTCCGGTTGACTGTAGAATTTTATCCTGTTAACAAACAAAGATAACAACAATTAAAACCACACTTCAACGCATCTGAGAGTTTATGAAGCGGGCATAGCGGGCTGGGAATTCATCTTACCATCCCCTTTGGCCCTAAAGTTGTCTTCACCAGATCAGCAATTGCCATTGCCCCCACAAAGGAAGCCTGCACTCAACAGCAAACCATATGATGCTTGTGGTAAGAAAGCATATTATTATAGCTCTAAGCTAAGTGCTCTGCATTTTTTAGATAGGTGGTACAGTGGATTTAGGCATATCATCAAAACTTATAAGAAAATAAATTGTGGTGCCACATTGTTTCCCAAATATTACCTCAACAAGAAATAATTAGCAAACATTTACTAATTCCTAGAAAACAGGCTTACCATTCTTGCTCTCTCTCCCTTTTCTTCAGTAGCTTCATCTTTGAAAAGTTTGTGAGCCTTTGGAATCAAAAAGAAGCTAACTCGTAAAACCATACTAATTCACCAAATAACAAGGTAACCAAATTTACATTAAATAGATAGAGATAGAGATGGTACCGCCATCAAAAAAACGGAAGACGGTTTGAGGCGAACTCCGAATGTGCGAAAAAATAAGAAACGAAGCTCTGTGGGTAACCAAGGTTATCTGTAATTATAAATTAAACCATAATAAGTCCAACCAAAATCCATTACATTGATCAGGAATTCAGGATCTAAGCATTCTACAGTTCATAGTAGATTGGAGCAAATGGAAGGTGCGGGTGGCTGCTGATGCCAACTAAATAAACACAAGGTTATTACATTACATCTATCTATACATGATAAGGTAGTTTACATAGCAGAATTTAACACCAAAACAAATTGAAGAAAGTTAACATGTATCCATGTAAAATAAACTCTTTGGTTGCATGGCAGGTGGGGGGCTTGCCAAGAGGGTCTCAAGGTTTTTTTGCTAAACTATATGTCTTTTTCATAAATTGCTTTTAATTGTCGGTTTTTTTTTTTCAAAAAATGTACAGTGTTGTGCAAAAGACTGACAATAGTTATAATGATAGCCATTTTAAGGATTCCGGATAACAAAATTAACTTTTCAAAATTGACCCTGATGGTCTGTACATTAATTTTCTTTGGCATAAGCACTGATAACAATTTAACAAAAAAGCAGATATATTAATGGGATGGATCTGACTAAATATCAAAAAAGCACTTGAATGTACCTTGTTATACATAGCCCTGGTATTTAAAAATGACGCATATTTGAAAACTCATGCAATATCACCCAAATAAGTCTGTAGTGCATTAAAATATACAGAGTACTACATTTGTCCCTCTAAGATTGGGACAAGAGGAATCTCTATATAGTCTCTCCGTCCCTGAATTATCTTCCAATTTCATTTTTCAATCTCAAAATACTCTTACAGTTTTTTTGACAAAGAATTTGTAATTCACGGCATTTCTTATACATTATTACACATTCCGCTCTCTTTCGCACAACTCTCTACACACAATACCCAATATTCTAGTTCTCGTGACAAATGTACTTAATAGTTAGGGACGGAGGGAGTATATATAAGCTGGACCACATGGGATAACTGTTCCGAATGACAATGATAACGTCACTATGACGTAATCATTGTGTTATCACGGGATGATGCGGCACTTGCTCACAGTTAATCTGCAGCATTTTGGCTCTCCTCCGTAGTGAGTACTGAGGCAACACTGTCGGCGTATTGGTTGGTCATTAAATTACAGCTTATTACAACTCGTTAATTTAGAAAATTATTCATCGTTTAACTGAAACAACAGATAAAGAACGAAACTCAACAACACCCTCTAAACTTGATCTATTCACTGCTGATAAGATATAAAAAGATGTGTACGAACAAACAAAACAAGATGCGATAAAATAAGAAGACAGTTAGTAATAACCGACTAACCTCGGGATGTTAGACGAAAGGCGTGGTGTGGACTGCGTCAGACCTAAGGTGAAGAGGAGCAAAATAGGGTATGGCCGCGGCTGAGAAATGGGCGGTAGAGAGAGATGGTTGATCGGAGGAATTGGTACACCCGTAGTACGGTTAGGTTATTCCAGATTTGGGCGTTTCATTTTCTAATTGGACCGGATCAAACACCTTGGGCCAACAGCTTTAAGTAAATTATTTAACTTTTATGTAGTTGTTTTAGAGACCGTTTGGCAACCCTCATTTTCGGCTTATCAGGCTTATCACCGAATTTTTTTACCAAACACGTAAATTTTGATTTCGCGCGCTGAATTGTGTAATAAGCCGAAAAAGTAATGTTGGAGTTACTTTTCTGGCTGTATTGGCTGAAGTTACTGTAGATGATCATTTTAGCTATTTTTACATATAATTTTTTCTTTATTTTATTAAAAAAATATATTTTTCTTGGATCAGCATAATCAGCCAATGCAGCCACTTCAGCCAGAACTTCATAAATTTCAGCAGAATCAGTCAAAACAGCCGATTTTCGTGCTACCAAACGGGCTCTTACTAAATTTGTCATTTTTTTATAAAAGAATTTGTAGTTCCTCTGTCAAAAAAAGAAATTGTAGTTTCTTTTAGGGAAATTACCCAAAATAGGAGCAAATGACACTTGGAATTCCAAAAATAGGACTAGTATGTTTTTCTTTATGAAATATGAGTTATTACTGTCATGTACGAAAAATACTGTCATGAATGAAAAAATATTGTCATTAATTATAATAAATACTGTCATGTTAAATACACTGTACTGCAACTATTTGGCAGTCACGACAACAAGATGACAGTAAATACTGTCATGTTAGTCCCATTTCGGGAATAAAAACAAAGTAATCCTATTTTGGAATTTCAAATTTCATTTACTCTTATTTTGGGAAATCTCTCATTCTTTTAATACTCTCGCACCTATATAAATTTCAAGCATATGTGTTTTATTTTATTATTTCATGTATCAGTCAAATTAGGCACTTGGTAATATTAAAATTGGTCAAATGCGTTGAATATGTTATAATTGATGAAATTCAAGTTGAACCGGCCGACTTCACAAATTTGCTTATTTGCGGAAATAGTATAATCAAAATATTTTTTGATGATAAATAAAGAATAATCTTATGAAAAATAGCTATAATGATCTTTTATAGTAATGTCAATCAATTCAATCATAAAAGTTATTTAAAACTTAATTATGTTGGTTACTATACTCCCTCCTTCCCACAAAACTTGCCCAGGTTTCATTTATTGGTGGTCTAAAAAAAATTATCATTTGCATTTGAAGTAAAAAAAGTTATCATTTGCATTTGAAGCAAAAATGTTGTGTGGCGCACACGTGGCACCACCACGTCAGCCAGTAACCTGCTGGTCGGGCTGGTTACCTACTAAAAGGAGGTTTTGACGAAAATTACAATGTATGAGGTCGAAATTGATAAAACACATACCACGAGAGTTGAATTGACTTTTTGTACAAAGTATGAGAACTAATTTGACCTTTTTCTCTATTTAGTTACTACGTATATTATTTTGCTGAATTTTTTCGTGAATTACTTCAAAAAAAATTATAAAGAAGGTTTATGTCTTATATTCATATTATTTGTATCGCTCTCTTAGGTGCTTTACAACGTTGAATGGGTGAGCATATAATTACTTCTTCTCTTTTTAGCATTTAAATTATTATTTAATTCAACATTTACATACCACCAACAAAATTCAACACTTACTTGCTTAAAACAAGGTTTAAATATGTTTTATTCAATGTAAAAATAGCATAGACAATATTTTTTCAGGGATATTTTGACTTTGCACCCCACTTTTGGATGCTATTGGACTTTGAAATCCATTTTCAAAACTTTTAGATTTTGCACCCTATTTTCCATAAAAAGTATTTGTCTTTGCACCTCATTCAAGAATTTTTCTTCACAAAAGATTGTATGATTTGGGTGCAAAGTCTAAAAATTTTGAAAATAAGATACAAAGTTCAATATCATCTAAAAGTGGGTGCAAACTCAAAATTCCCTTTTTTTACATCCTTGGAAAATTGTTTTATTTGCTTTTCATCCTTAAAACTTATGTGCTTTTATTTTAAGTGCATTATTAATGATAATAAACTCTGTTTGACTTTGAAATAACCTCGACTAATAGATTTTCTCTAACTTTTTGTCATATTATTCAAAAAAAATAATTAATTTATATTTTAGAACTTTTAATACATATTTTAAATATATTAATAGTTAATTTTACGATGCTTTAATTCTGATATTAGTCTCAAAATATTTATTAGAGAATAAGATTATATATTCGTAGCAGATCCGTACAATTAACAATAATTGTTTTTAAAAATAGAGTGATTTCAAAGTTAAAGATGGACTAAAAAATAGTGTCTATTGGAGGTATGAAAAATAAATAGTTATTTTGCAAGGAGCAAAAATAAAGTGGTTCATATTTGCATAGGAATATTTAAGCCTAGAGAAAAACACGTGTTTTACTCAATCCCAAAAAGTGAATTTGAATTTTGAAGTATATAACAATGGTTATATAAAATTAGAAATTTAAAGAAAACTGAATTCACTACAGCATTGTGACGGGGACAATTAATATATAATCCATTTATCCCATAAAATTTGGGAAAAATTCATTTTTTGTCCGTTTCAAAAAATTTATCATTTCCGTTTAAAATAATTTGTAACAATTATGTGACAAAAGTTATTTTTCTCCTATAGCAAAATATCAATCACATCATTTTTATTTTATTATTTTGACGGTAAGTCGATTGTGAGCAAATTTATGTAAAGGAGGGAGTACTATGTATACGGGACAGTATCTAAAAAATAATTAATATACAATTGTAAATTACATATGGGGTATTATATAAATAAGAATGTTTAAAGTTGGGTTGGTTTCGGTCTGAGGTAGGGATGGACCAGGACCCGTCGGACCGGCCCGATACCCAGCCCTGACCGCCAGTGTGCGGTACCGGCCTGGCCAGGTTGACCGGGAACATCCTTGGGCCCGAACCGGGGGGGGGGGGGGGGGGGGGGGGTACGGGCTGCAGCCCTCTTGGAACCAGCATGGCCTATCTGGGACCGGCCCGGGCTAGGCATGGACCCAACCGGGCCGAAATGGCCCGGAACCGAACATGCCCGCTACTGTGCGGGCCCGGACCGGACCAGGCCCGGATGGCCAGTTCCGGGATTTAGCCCGGTTTGGGCGGTTCTGGCGGGCCGGTTCCGGGCCATGATTTTCATGAACCAGCCCGGGCGGTTCGGGCCGGGCCCGGTTCAATTTTTTTTCAATTTGTTTCTTCTTTTCCTTGGGTAGGGCTGGGTGTTTTGGGGGTTTTGGGGGGTGGGGACGAGGGAGGGGGGTCGGGGTTAATTAGAACAGCGTGGTGTGGACTACGTCAGACACTCAGACCTAAGGTGAAGAGGAGCTAGAAACGGGGAGAGCAAAATAGGGTAAGGTCGCGACTGAGAAATGGGTGGTAGAGAGAGATGGTGGATCAGAGGAATTGCTACACTGTTAGTAGGGCTAGGTTATTCCAGATTTGGGCATGTGATTTTCTAATTGGACCCGACCAAACACCATGGGCCAGCAGTCGTAATTAAAGGGAGTTTTACACAACTATAGAAAACCAGTTCGTATGCCGTGGGATCCACTATGGTCCACTCCCAAAACGATGTAGTTTTGCATAACTTTTTTAAAAAAAATCAAGTGAAATGTACACGTGTGTACAAACTGTTTTTTTTCTTTTTGTCTCACTAGCATGAATGATGTAACTTGCATGTAAAGAAATATAACTCACGCTGATAAGAAATGTAACTACAAGCAAGTGAAAATGTAACTTGTCTAATAAGTATTATAAAAAATAAAACATTGATTTCAATGAAAACAAGGAGTTTAATTGCTCAATTAACATGTTTTTATATATTAAGGTCACAAATAATGTGTTTTTCTTAAAATGATTTTTTTTGCAAAAAATCATTTTTCTTTTGCCAAAAAGTGATTTTTTTGTTTCAATAGCAGGGGCTTCCTCAAATAGAGAATGTGTTCTATTCTTAATATTATGGACATAAAAATGTTTTTTTAAATCACTTGTTTTGCCAAATAAATCATTTATTTGCCAAAAAAATAATTTTTTTTTTTGCAAAACAAAATGATTCTTTTTTTTCAATAGCAAGGCTTTATGTTGTGATGTAAATCGTGTTATGCAAAATGTAACTTCATATACTATCAAATGTAAACAATGAAAACAAGGAGTCTATTTGCTCAAATTAATTTATGTAAATAGTTAAAATGTTTTGTTTTTAGTATTAAGGCCATAAAAATGTTTCAAAGAAAAATAATATTTTTTGCCAATAAAATCATTTGTTTTCAAAAAGTCATTTTTTCCCCAAAAAAATGCCAAAAAAATGTTTTTTTTGTTTCAATGGCGGGAGTTAATTTTTTTGATGCAACTAATGTTATGAAAAAATGTAACTCGCCTTAATGGAAATCTAACTTAGGTAAATGCAAAATGTAACTTGTTGAGGCAAGTTCGAATGTTTCTCACACATAGGAAGATATTTTTTAATGTCTTAAAAACACTAAATACATTTAAAAGAGATAAGAAATATATTATTATATATAGCAAATAGATAAGAAACACATTATAGAAAAAGTGTATGAATATGAAAAACATTTTACAATAAAAGTATATAAATGTAAAAATATATTACACAAAATATAAGTTCGGTAGTAATTTCTGTTGAAAAAAAATGAAAAAAATAGAGGAGGATGAGGAGGAGGAGGAGGCGGAGGCGGAGGCGGAGGAGGAGGGTATAATGGTAAACATGAGTTTGAGAGATTGAGATGTGGATGAGAGGCACAGAGATAGGTGAGCGATAGAAATTTAGGATTTTAATATTATTATATAGGAGGGTAAAATGGTAATCCGGAATCCTATTCATTAGAGAATTAAAAGCGTTTGGTCCTATTTGTGCACTTATGTTTCCTACTTGTGCTATAAAAAAATGAAAAATATTATAATAATGTCATGCCTCTGCCAACTTAATATCACACAATAGATCAATTGTGACCCGATGTAAGCAAACCATGTTCGACCAAGGTAAGTCGCATCTAACCAAATGATTTTAATCCAAATGACAATGT